GCCAGCCCCCTATGTGCAAAAGCACGTCGGTAGAACTAGTCTCATGAACGTGTTCATGTAATGTCGGTCCGGGCCGCTTCATCCAACAATACCGCCGAATCAAAGTAAGACGTTGGTGGTAAGCAGTATGACTATTATCGCCGACAACTCTTTGTGTTCTACTCGTGCATAAACCATCTACGCATAGACCTGGCTCGGATGCCACTGTTGGGGAACACAGTAATTCAAAATTTTCCTACGATCATGCAAGATCTATCTAGGAGATGCATAGCAACGAGACGGGAGAGTGTGTCCACGTACCCACGTAGACCGAAAGTGGAAGCGTTTAGTAATACGGTTGATGTAGTCGAACGTCTTCACGATCCAGCCGATCCAAGTACCGAACGTACGGCACCTCCGTGTTCAGCACACATTCAGCACGATGACGTCCCTCGAGCTCTTGATCCAGTTGAGGACGAGGGAGAGTTCCATCAGCATGATGGCATGGCGATAGTGTTGATGATGTTACTGGCGCAAGGCTTCGCCTAAGCACTACGATGATATGACCGAGGTGTTAAACTATGGAAGGGGGCACCGCACACAGCTAAGAGAACAACTGTTGTGCCTTGGGGTGCCCCCTTGCCCCTGTATATAAAGGAGGGAGGAGGAGGAGGCCGGCCTAGGAGGGGCGCACCTATAGGGGGAGTCCAAATAGGATTCCCAATCCTAGTTGGAGTCCCCTTCCTTTTCCAACAGAGGGAGAGGGAAGGAGGTGGAGAGGAGAAGGAAAGAGGGGGGGGGGGTCGCCCCCTCCTAGTCCAATTTGGATCAGCCAAGGGGGGCGCACCCTGCGGCCCTCTTCTTCTTTCTAGTAAAGCCCAATAAGGCCCACTACTTTCCCGGGGGGTTCCGGTAACCTCCCGATACTCCGAAAAATGCCCGAATGATTCCGAAACCTTTCCGGTGTCCGAACGTAACCTTCCAATATATCAATCTTTATGTCTCGACCATTTCGAGATTCCTCGTCACGTCCGTGATCTCATCCGGGACTCCGAACAAACTTTGATCATCAAAAACACATAACTCATAATACAAATCGTCATTGAACGTTAAGCGTGCGGACCCTACGGGTTCGAGGACTATGTATACATGATCGAGACACATCTCCGATCAATAACCAATAGCGGAACCAGGATGCTCATATTGGCTCCTACATATTCTACAAAGATCTTTATCGGTCAAATAGCATAACAACATACGTTGTTCCCTTTGTCATCGGTATGCTACTTGCCCGAGATTCGATCGTCGGTATCATCATACCTAGTTCAATCTCATTACCGGCAAGTCTCTTTACTCTTCCGTAATACTTCATCCCACAACTAACTCATTAGTCACATTCCTTGCAAGGCTTATAGTGATGAGCATTACCGAGAGGGCCCAGAGATACCTCTCCGATACACGGAGTGACAAATTATATTCTCAATCTATGCCAAACCAACGAACACCTTCGGAGACACCTGTAGAGCATCTTTATAATCACCCTGTAATGTTGTGCCGTTTGATAGCACACAAGGTGTTCCTCCGGTATTCGGGAGTTGCATAATCTCATAGTCTGAGGAATATGTATAAGTCATGAAAAAAGCAGTAGCAATGAGACTGTAACAATCAGGATGCTAAGCTAACGGATGGGTCTTGTCCATCACATCATTCTCCTAATGATGTGATCCCGTTCATCAAATGACAACACATGTCTATGGCTAGGAAACATAACCATCTTTGATTAACGAGCTAGTCTAGTAGAGGCATACTAGGGACACTATGTTTTGTCTATGTATTCACACATGTACTAAGTTTCCGGCTAATACAATTCTAGCATGAATATTAAACATTTATCATGATATAAGGAAATATAAATAATAACTTTATTATTGCCTCTAGGGCATATTTCCTTCAACCATGCCAAAGAAAGAGTGATATATCCAAAGTTTTTGTGAGGCCATGGCTTCTAGTATGATAGTGCAACATTTGACACGCCCCTTGTGTTGCCCCTGCCAAGCAAATGGATAGTTCTTCTACTTCCAGCGCATACAATCTATGATCCCAAGCATTCCCGGAAAGCGTCTATCTGTATTGGTCTCCAACAACCCTGCTGTATCTCCGGCATATGGCTCTCTCAAGTACTCAGGGCCAAACACTACCATCACAGCCTTGCAGAAAACTATACATTGACTTGAGACATGTGGTCTCACACATACGTATGTACCCATCCACAAGATCGCCCGTAATTTCATATGCAAGCATGCGAATAGCCGTTGTGCATTTCTGGTAAGAGAAGAAGCCAACCTTGCCAAGGGTATCCTCTTTGCACTCAAAGTATGGGTCATATGCTACCACTCCCTCCCAAATAAGATTAAATACATCTCTCGCCGTCCGAAATCGGCAGCGGAAAAAAATGTGATTTGAAGAGCCGGGAATCCTCAAAGTAATCGACATAGAGAAGGGCGCAACCGCTCTCCCTATTGCGGTTCAAGGCCAGAGCATGGCCGGGATTGATCCCCTGAACCGAGGTCGTCGCCTAGGAATGTGGTCATTGACGACCACTGGAGCAACCACAAGCTCTTCGTCTTTCGAGGACGAATCATCTGGTGAACAAATAAAGTCATGGAAAAAAATAATTGTCCCCACTATTCATGGTACCTTGTGAGCAAAGTGTCTAACACCTTGCGGTCATGATGGAGACGCGGTCGGTGAAGAGCACCATGGGCTCCCCTTGCAGGCAACAGGCAAGGTTGGCGTTGATGTCCGATGGCTTTTGTAGTGCCTGTCAAAAGGTGTTGGGGTCGATGGGCGTCGCCGGAGGCCGTAGCTTCCCTGGGAGCGGATGCAGCGACAAAAAGCCATAAACGCCAGCAAGAACTCCTATAAAACGCAGGCGTGGGGCGGCTATGGCGTGGGGGTGGTCGTGGTTTGGGCGGCCGGGCTGGACAGCGAGGAGGCGGCCAGAAAAGTTGGACGGTGAAGGCGGTGGCAGGGGCGGGGCAGGCCACATAAGAAAAGAGAAAAATGGGTTGTTTCACCGACGGGCGGGTCAGGGACGACAAGGGCGCACATTTCGCCGGTCTGGGTGCTGTCCTTTTCGACGCAAACACGGTTCAATTCAGGCAAAAGTAACTCGGCAACGGACAAAAAGTAGATGTTTGTTTGTTTGCTCACGCGGGTTGGGCCGCTATTTGTGTCTATTAGGCCTCGGACGGACGCGGCCTGAGTTGGCCTAATACTAGAAGGCGCCTTCATGGATTTTGAGACTTTGAGTTGTTTAACTTGGCTTTGCTAGCCCGACAAGTGTGGAGAATCTTGCAAACACCAGAGACCCTAAGTGCGAGAATTATCAAGCCTGTCTACTATCCAGACACCGATATACTGCATGCAACACTTGGTTCATCACCGTCTAAGGTGTGGCATGCTTTGATTGAAGGCAGACATACTTAAATTGGGTCTTATTCGAAGAATAGGTAATGGGTAGTCAACACATGTATGGCAGGATAATTGGATACCAAGATCGGAGCCGGTGGTGGCCATTTCAAATGCACCACCCCAATTAGTATCTGAACTGATCAATGCAACAACAGGTTGGTGGGACAGGGCCGAGCTTAGTAGGCATTTCTTGACCATGGACGTCAAGGCAATTTCAACGATTCCCATCAGAACTGTCCAGCAAGAGGATTTTTGGGCATGGCATCATGAGAATACAGACGTCTTCTCGGTAAGATCTTGTTATCGCATGTTGATCACAACTAAGAAAGTACGGGAAGACTGGTTGGAAGGTAGACCAAGTTCGAGCTCAACCCGGTTAGAGAAGGCCTGAACAACGCTATGAAAGATTAAAGTCCCATCCAAAGTTCGGGTTTTTGTTTGGCGCTTGGCTCAGTGATCTATGCCTTCTGGTGTCGAGCTACACCATAGACATATGGCAACAACACCGAGATGTGAGCTATGTGGGGTAGAAAATGATACACGGCGTCATTCCCTCCTTGATTGCACCATGGTGAGGTGTGTATGGGCGCTCATTGACGAATCACTTACAGAACATATGAGCTTGTTGAACAGTCCGGATGCCAAGGAGTGGTTGTTCCATATGCTAGAATCGGTGCCGTATGCAGACTTTACAAAGTTGATCATCACATTGTGGGTGATCTCGGGTGTTAGAAGGAAAGCAACCCATGAGGCAATCTTCCAAAGCCCAGAAGTTATTCATGGATTCATTATGAGGTATCTAGCTGATTTGGAGATCGTCGAAAATACTACACAGAAGCAGGTGAAGGTAGGGCATCGACACGTACGTGTACAGAAGTGGATTCCACCGATGGGAGGTATGGTCAAGATAAATGTCGATGGTGGCATTGCCAAGAACTGCAACAAGGGCGGGGTGGCGGCCCTATGCCGGGACGACCAGGGTATCTATCTCGGCTCGTCAGCACGCATAATTGACGTGTGCGATGATCCGTGCACGCTGGAAGCTATGGCATGCCTGGAGGCCTTATCTCTTGAAACTGACCTGAACCTAAACCGGAACATCATTGCATGTGACTCAGAATCGGTGGTGAAGCACATTAACGAAGGCAGCAGGTGCGCCTATAGCTCCATTCTACGAGAGATCAATATACGACGACAGGAGTTTGAAGAGGCTCGAATAATTCATGAAGGAAGAACATCCAATATGAAAGCTCATAATTTTATAAAGAGTGTGCTATTTTAGCCCATGGTCGTTATAGTTGGCTAGTGCAGCCTCATGACACTTTGATTGTACCTATGTTTTAGTTGAATAAAGCAACCATGGTTTCCCAAACAAAAAAAAGGGAGACTAGAAGACGCCTTCAATGTCTAAAAAAAAACCTGGAAGACTTCACCTGAGATCCTGACCTTTGCTCAAAGAAAAAAAAAACTAAGATCCTGAACGAGCTGCTCCGTTTCCTGCGGCGTTGCCGCTAGAACAAATTCCCCCAAGATCCAGTAGGAGGAGCATGGCAGAAGCGGCCGTCGGCGGGCCTCACCTCCCTGAGGAGATCGTCACCTGGGAGATTCTCATCCGCCTGCCGCCGAAGCCCCTCGTCCGCTGCCGCGCCGTCTGCCGCTCCTGGCACCGCCGCCTCACCTCCGACGCCAAATTCCTCTTCGCCCACCACCGCCGCCAGCCCTCGCTCCCGCTCGTCACCACCGAAGACACCCATGAAAGAAGGATCGACGCCCTCGACCACAGCACCGGCGAGCGGCGCCCCGTCGCGCGGGCGGCCCGGACCGCAGCCGACGAGCACTTCGATGTGCTCGCCTCCTGCGACGGCCTCCTTATCCTCGTCGCCTACGGCGGCGTCTACATCTGCAACCCGGCGACTCGCCAGCACGCGCCCCTCCCGCTGCTTCACGTCTACTGCATCGCCGGGTTATACTTCCACCGCCCGTCGGGGTCCTACCGAGTTCTGTGCTGCTTGAAGACAACCGAGGACGGCCAGTTCCGTGCCGTATACCAGGTGTACACACTCGGGTCCGGCGACCTCAGGTGCATCGGGAAGGCTCTCGAGCCGTGGACGTCCGGAGATCTAGCGCGGGCGATGCCGATGATGGTGTCATTTCAACCGCACGTCCTGGCAGGCGGCAGGCTTTACTGGCAGCCCATTAAGTTGCCTGGTGCTGGTGGCAACGGCAAGGTGAACAACATGCTGGTGTTCGACACCATGGCCGAGTCCTTCCAGCATCTGCTTTCGCCAGTCGAGGGCGCCTTTCTTGAGCCGTTTGAGATGAACGGCACTCTTGGATTGTACGACTACCATGGCAGCACGGCTGATCTCTGGGTTCTAGAGGATCACGAGAGCTGGGCCTGGTCGTTGAAGCACCGGATCAAGTTGCAGGTGATGGCCTTCTCTCTGGTGCCGGACATCCAAGGAGGCGTGCTCCTTCTTTCTGAAAATGAGGAATCAGGCCTTCTATGGCAATATCTGCAGCATGTTTCTGGTGCCGATGGTAGTATCTCCACACGGTATGAATGGAGCGCTTATCTGAAGCTTAGGAGACATAGGCTCAGAGAAAGTCTTGTTCAGCATTCCTTCTTCTCGATGGAAGGTAACAATGGTGGTGGTGTGGATGGAAAACCGTTGTTCGATGGGTTGTCAACTGTGAAGGTGCTTACTGCTGATATTTCGGAGCTGCACTAAAGGAATCCATGATGGACAAGTCCGTTGCATTGTCGCGCGAGTGAGTCACTGGTGATAATGTTTAGTACTCCCTCCGATCCATAGTTCTTGTCGCTCAAATGGATGCTAGATACATCCATTTGAGCGACAAGTAATATGGATCGGAGGGAGTACTATCTACTATGTCTTTGCTATCTAAGTCTGTATGGTGCAAAGGACCCAATAAGCAAAAGATGAGTAACCTGATACCATGCCTCATGTTTCCGGTGTTTCCCCCCTCTTCACATGATAGGGATGCAGAATAAAGTGGTTGTCATATCAGGCTTATTTAGTTTCTGCACTATAAACTTTGTAAAACGGTCTGCCATTTTTGCTACTCATTTGTGTGCAAAAGATGCAACATTTGCTAGGGCTACTTTGTCCTGGTCTCATGGTCACTAGTACCTGCCTTCTGTACTGTTTACAGCATGTCTGTAGCCTGATTAATCAACAAAGAGGAAATTCTTGTTATCAAAAAAATGAAAAGAAAAACAGAAGTGGTTATGTTATGTCTTTTAACTTTTGTGGTCTTTTATTTATAACTGGTAAGTATACCGGTAATCAATTGATGCTGTATGGAGATTTAGGTAGGCAATGTTTTTATCTATTGTTGATACTTTCGGTGTAAAGTTCTTGACTTGGCTTTCGTCCTGTAGGCCTTCTCAAAGTGAATGGTAGCACTAAGGTAGCAGCATTACATGATGGCTGAAAATACATTTCTCCTCCATCTTAACACCACTTCTTGTTTTGGTAATTTTGATGCAATTATCTCCAGGAGATACATTTATTCCCCATCTTAGTTATTTTTTATTGGTATCTTCTTTTGTGTGGCTTTATAAAGTGTTTCCCTTCTTTTCACATATATATTATGGCCGCCATGCATATGCTCCACATGTTTCTTAATTTTGAGTGGTTATGATTGAGATGCCCAAATTGAACTATCTGATAGCAGTCCTACTTGAGCAGGGAAAGCAATATTTGGGTCTTTCTCATCCTGATGCAAAACCATCTGTATACTTATCTTTTAAGTTGCAATCTTGTATTGATCTATATGAATACATGATTCCTAGTAATCTTACTTGTAGGATTTATTTTCTTTCCAGAAACCGGATATTACTTCACCTTATATCGCTCCTCTGTATAAAACCATGCTATCGAAAATATACTGCTTGCAATCCAAAGACACATCTTAAGAAGTTTCCAGAAAATGTGCATCTATAGGATCATGTATGATATACTCAAGGTACCGTTCTGTCACTTTGAAATATACCTCAAAGCTATGTTCTATGATATTCTCTGTTACACAAAGAAAGATGTTTTAGGAACAGATTAGTTGACGATCAGTAAACTTGGGTTGATACCGGCAACTTTTCTTGAACCAAGTCGACTTCATGCACGTCAACAGGTCATGGTTAGATTTTTTTTCTAGCGTTTGTGAAAACAAAACAAAGAAATAATTGAAAATCAACTTTGAAGTTATTGAATGATTGAATCTTTTACCTCGCTAGAAGACCAGCTTGTGAGAAGATGATACGGTTCAGTGTGGAAGTCGCTATGGAAGCTCAAAGTAATGCCTAAAATTCGAATTTTCTGGTGGGGGGTGGTCAAGAACCTCTTACGACCCTGCTTTGCTTCAGTGAGCTGAAGCAGAGGAATAGCTACACCATGCTCTGCTCACGCGAGACTTGTGTGGGATGCGGTCTCGGAACAGTTTGGTGTGGAATTGCCAACAACAATTTGGAGCAGACATGTGCTGGAGTTGAAGATTGCAGTTACTGTGTTGTGGGCAATCTGGAGCCAGCTGAAGAGATCCATCGAGCTTGTTGATGAACTGGACTATGGAGATAAATGCTCCCCTCCAACCGACAGCAAGTGGATTAAACTGGATTGTGAATAGTGACGGAGCCTAGGGATAAGAGTGAGCATGGCAAAGTTTTATAAACTATGAATGTGAATTCATGAGGTCATCTTTTATCAGATCCCAAAAGTGCTGATAAAAAAGAAAGGGGTCTCATCTAGGCCAGGAGCCCCGTCAGAATAAGAATAGAAAACAGCTTTCTTAACCTCTTCTACAGTGAAGAATGATTGCAGGAGGGTGTTTTCTTCTACTAGAGCTTTTTCAGTCTCATTAAAAATTCAGGATTAAGTTTAAAATCAGATTTATGCTTTTTTAGAAAGTTTTCTATAATAACCAGAAGCTACCTCCAACATCTCTTAATTCTCATAAATAGGTCCATAGGGGCTATCCAAGGAATGGATGTGGGTTTTCCTTCTTCTCTGGTTAGCTACTGCATGAATGTATGCAGTGTTCCTATCTTCCTTCAGAAAATCTATAACTTTAGAAATCTACTTAGCCTTAATCTCCTCTTTCAACCAAATTATCTTCATCTCATCATGAATGATTTAAGCCTATTCTGCTTTGTATCAGAGAGTTCAGGTCTCAGATTTAATACCCAAGGCGTCATACTCTTCCATAAGCTTTTTTTGAGCATTCTATATTAAAACCACACCCCTAAGTTGCTCTTCTTTTAGGCAACCCTAAGTTACTCTTCTAAACTTCGTAATTTTAGTCTGCCAGATATTAATAGCAGATGGGCCACTAATGGCTCTTTCCAGATCTTCGTAACCAGATCTTTGAAGTCTTCTCTAAGTAACCACTATTTATTTTCTTTTAAACCTATTAGATCCAGCGTTCACACCCGAGTCCAAAAGAATGAGTGTGATCACTGCCAACTCTTGGTAGAGCCAAGCAAGAGCCTAAAGGAAATAGTTTATCTAATTCAATGTTCCATAAGATCCTATCTATAATGGACGTAATAAGATCAACAAGATTATTAGCCCAGGTGAATTTCCTACTAGATAACTTGATTTCTGGTCCAAATATTGATCTAAGAGTTAAAATTATCACTTCAATTGTGATAAATGACACCGTTGCTCTTGTCCTATTGGAACCTAACCAAATTAAAATATCTCCAAATCAAGGTAGGGATATCATGATAAAAATATAAGCTATGGAGCTCACAGAATTTCATTTTAGGGAACTAGAGATATCATTGTAGTTACAGTTTTATGTCTTAATTGTAAATACAATGTCAACACGAAAACATGCGAACAAGTGAACAACCTTTAGATTTGGATAAGCATATATGCATTTAAGGTGTATTTGGTTGTTGTCACGAAGCGGAGCGTGGAACGACAAGGGTTCGTTTCATTCCTAGAACTCATTCTCGTGTTTGGATGACCTGAGAAACCAGAATCCACTCGTTCCTAGAATGGCATATTCTTCCGCGCGGCCTCTCCAAATCGAGCGGACCACGTGGAACCGATCCTCTTCGGCTCTTCCTCCCGCGACCATATCTGGTGTTCCTTCCTTCCTTTCCTCCCGTGACCCACCCGGGAGACGCCGCCGCCGGGAGCACGCGTCGCCTCGTCCAGACCGCCCTTGCAGGCGCCCGACGTCGATGCTTTGCATGCGTGAACTCGTCGATGAGTGTCCAAGGTGGTCGTGGAGGCCATGGTGTGGATGACCATGAATGAGCTCGG